CGGGAAAGTTTGATTTAAATTTAATTCTTCGTGATTTAAACACTGCAAAATGGAAAATAAAATCAATGCTGGGTTCTTCTTCTCAATTTAAGCAAATCATTGTAAAGAAAACAAACACTCCATATGAATTGAGATTTATTGACATCAGAAATTATATAGCGGGTGGGACATTAGACCAATTCACTCAAGATTTCGGAAACAATAAATCACGTGTTAAATCCTTTTTCCCTTATCAATTCATCACATGGGAGAATTACGAAGAAGAATTATATAAAGAGGAACCATTCACGAAAGATTCATTTTATTCAGCATTAACTCAAGAAACTATATCAGATAGTGATTATCAAATATATCTCAATGATGCTAAAAACTTTAAGAATAGATTAGAATATTTTATTCATTATTGCAATAAAGATGTTGAAATTATGATTGACCCAATTGATAAAATTATTGAAGAAACATTTGTTTATAAAATTGATATGCTTCATAATCTTTCTTTATCATCGAATGCTTCAATGATTCGTTACGCTTTAGCATATAAAGACTTTAATCCTAACGAAACATATCCAGAAGAAGAAAATGTGGAATCAAGTTTTGAATTAACGAAAAAGTATTGGAAATATAAAATTGAATCATATAAGAAACAAGATGAAAAAGCAGAAAGGGATACTAAAAACAATGTTTCAATGGATGATTTTCAATACTATCACGATTTAATCCTTTCATCTAAATGCAAAATGTGTGGTAAAGCGTTTACATATGCTAATAAACCAACATTGGATAGAATAGATAATGAAAAACCACATACTAAAGAAAATTGTCAGTTAATGTGTTGTTATTGCAATGTCGTAAAATCAAATAAAGATGAAGATGTTCAACGTTTAAGAATCAATTTAAGAAATTATGCATTAAAAAATAATTTACCAATGACTTTAGATTCAGTTGAAGCTTATCACATTCTCCGTAATGGAATTACTGGTGGTTTATCAAATGTTCAACATCGTGTTAATCTTAAAGGAATCACGCACATTAATAAACTTTCATATAATCCAGAAACTAAAACTGTATCAAATGAGGACACCACCAACATTATGACTCATTTCGTTGGTGTTGATTTTAATTCATTATATCCTTCATCATTTTCATCTAATCCTCATGATTTCATTCAATATACTGACCATAAAATGTATATGCCGGGAAGATTGAATGGTGTTATCATTTGTGATACAGCAACAAAGAAAGCAAAAGCACTGGGAATAATTAAGAAGAAAAATACTTTATTCGTGGCTGAAGTAAAGGGTCACATTGATGAAAAATACATTAATGATTACATAAACTTTTTACCGATAATAAGAAACTTAGATATTATCACAGATGAAAAAACAATTGGCAGTTTTATGTATAATTACATGAAATCAAACAATTTACCAGTTGACCAGAAACAGAGAAAATTAACTCAGTTAGCATCAACACACAACCAATATCAACCATTTTCTTCTTATTATCTTTGGTATCTAATCGACAGATTTCATTTTATCATTGATGACATTCAATCAATTTTAACATTTACTAAAAACACTTGTTTTAATGAATTTGCGAATGAATTTATGAACGAAAGACAAAAGGCTGAATTAGAAGGAAATAAAGGAAAAAGTTTATTTTGCAAGATTTCACTTAATGGATCATATGGTTACGATGCAATGAATACACAAAATTACGCAAAGACTAAAATAATGAATGCACAGAAGGCACGCGTTGCATGTATGTCAAATAAGTTTAAAAACATAAGAGAAATAGGAGAGGATACATATCAAGTGATGCTTAAAGATAGATTTTATAGATGTGAACATGTTTACAAGAGGCATTCTTCACTTTAGATAATGCTAAATACTGGTATTTGGTTTTCATTTATGATTTTATGTATAAATGCATGAATGTTAATCGTTTTCATTTCATTGAAGGTGATACTGATTCATCTTATTGGGCAATCGCTGGCGATCCAAATCTTCCTAACACTCAAGCATTTCAAGCAATTGTTACCGATAAACAATTTTATGATAAAAACATTTTCAAATTCGCACCTTTTGATTTCTTCTGTTTTGATGAGAAATTTAAACCTAAATTAAAGAATAAAGCTGAAGAAAAAGCACATGAGAAGAAGTTATTGGGTTTAGCAATTGAGAAACAAGGCGATAACATGGTTGCTTTATGTCCTAAGTGTTATACATCATTCAACGGTTCAATTGATGGAAGTGATTTTAAAAAGATTGCACAAAAAATGAAAGGTGTTAGTTTACGACAAAATAAACAATTAACACCTAAAAATTATTTGGATATAATAAATGATAAATTGATATTTGATGGTCAAAATATTAATTTACAACTTAAAAACGGGTCAATGACTCGCTTAACAATCGGTAAGACTGCATTAACAGGAGCACACACTAAGGCTGTATGTTGTGAAAATGGATGTTGTATGCCATTTATTTAATACAATTTAAAATTTTATTTTTAATAAAATGCCACAGAAGAGACAAAGAGGTGGGCACCCTTAAAACATTGATTTTATTTTTATATAAATGGATAACACAGATTTAAAAATTTTAATTGATGATTTAGTATTTAATCAAAATTTTCTTATTATTATGATTTAAAAGCATATCTCCAAAAATATGATAACAATATAACGGGTGATGATATGGAATATTATTATCCATATTATAAAAATGAAATTTTGAAATATCATAATAAAATAATTTCTGAAATTAAAGACAAAATTAAAAATAATGAATATACAAAGGGAAAAACTAAATCACAACTTAAACAGTTGAAAGATTTCAAAAATAAAGTATTAACAGAAGAAGATATTGATGAATTATATAAATTATATAATCCTGAGCCACAAAACACCCATGTCCTTCAGACCATAAATGATGCACAAGCTTTAATTTATGATTCATTAGTTAAACCATATTCAGCCCGACTTTTAAATGAAGATCAACTTTTGGAATTCATCCTTCAACATAAACTCGAAGCGGGAAAGTATATCAAACCTTTATATACAGCATATTTAAAACAAATGAATAGAATACATCCAGAATTAATGAAGGAAGGAATGAAAAGGAATTCCAAAATCAAAGCAGATAAAATTAAACCACTTGCAACACCAAAACCTCCAACGACAGTACCGCCTCCTCCTTCAGTTAATCCTTCATCATTCACTTTATTATATCCATTTCAAACATTAAAGAAGCAAAAAGATTTTAAAAAGGATTTCAAAATATTAAATAAACCAATTGACCCGAAAATTCAACCGTTAAAGGAAAAATTTAGTCGCCCTTCATTTGCACCATATCCATATTCATACGAAATCGATCATCTGGAATATTCAAAAGGAAAAGTTACTTATTTATTTGCCATTAACATTAACACTAGATATTTATATTGCATTCCAGTGAAAGGGAAAACAGAACAGGAAACAAGAAGAGCTATTCAATACTTACTAGATCATGAAAGAGTAGATAATATCAGGGGTGATGGTGATAAAGGATTTCAGGCAGCTATGGCTCATTATTTCCCACAAATTAATTTTTTCTTTTCATCCTCTCCATATACGTTTCATAATAAAATAGTTGATCAGTAATGAGAACTCTTAGAGATGCGTTAGGGGTTAACGGTCAGATATACTGGGATGGAAATCATGACCATCATACAACAGTTAGTATATTATTATAATAATAACATGGCATAGAAACTATAAACATGAAACCAGTGGAAATGAAAAATGATATTTCAAAAGAATGCGGAATATATTAGAAAGCAAATGGAAAGGTTGAATGATGTTAAACGTGAACAAATTAATTCGGGGCTCATGAATTTTAAACAAGGGGATAAAGTTTTGATTCATCTCGATTATGGAAAAACTGATAAATCAATGACAAAAAGAAGACGAAGATTTGACACAATAGCTGAATTTGTTAGATATATTAACGGTAATGTATTAGTTGAAGTTGACAATAAATTAATAGAATTTCCGATTTATTTTATTACTCCATTATATTTAAATAATATTTAATTTTTTTTATTTCGTAAGAAAATGAGTGACAACGAAGCAGCCAAGAGTCCAGACGATGAATATAAAAAGAAACTAAACAGAATTAAATCAAAAATATGCTATTACAAAAAGAAGCCACAATGCGGTGGGGTTGATGCCCATAAAACTAATGGAACTGAAAACGATAAAGAAATAATCGAAAAATTAGAAACTTACCGTTCAATCCTTAAACTGAGTGAAGCAAAAATAAAAGAATTTAATAGAATAAATAAATTGATTGGAAGAGATGAATTTAATAAAGATGAATTTTTAAACTCAATCCAAATTTAATTTTTATTCCTCTTTGACAACATCTCTCTTTCCATCATTACTGCATAACCACATTTTCTCAATTTTAGTGGTTTGTTATTTTTAACATGTTCTTGCATCATTTTTATCATTTCCTCCCTTGTTATGATTCGTGGTAAATTTTGAGCTTGTGGGGTATCCATTTATGATAAAAATAAAAATTTAAATTATGCCGTTCTAAAGTTTGTGACAACATGACATTTTGACAACAACACAGGAGGAAGGCAGTTATGAATTATTTTTGAAGAACTGAAGGTGCTACCATGTTACCATGTGCTACCAGGTCATTTAACTTCTTTTAAAAAATGAGACAACATGACATTTAGACAACAACACAGGAGGAAGGCAGTTATGAATTATTTTTGAAGAACTGAAGGTGCTACCATGTTACCATGTGCTACCAGGTCATTTAACTTCTCTGAAAAAGTGTGACAACAACACAGGAGGAAGGCAGTTATGAATTATTTTTGAAGAACTGAAGGTGCTACCATGTTACCATGTGCTACCAGGTCATTTAACTTCTCTGAAAAAGTGTGACAACATGACATTTTGACAACAACACAGGAGGATTAATGCAAAAATAAATTCAAATCATACTTTATAAAGCTTCATTTACAGGTATTTCATCGTCAGTAAATGAATCCTCATTATCGTTTGGTTCAACCTGTTTATATAATCCTTTCATTTCTTCTTTCAAAACATAACACCATGTTTGTTTACCGTCTATTCTTCTATGTTTCCTATCACATTTATCCTTAATACTCATTTGGAAATTCTTGTCTTTCATGTCTGATGGTTTGCAGAATAGAGCATTTTCACACGTCATACCTGCACACAATTCATCATAATGTGTATTTATCCATACATCTAAAGGATTTGATGATAATTCTATTAAATCTTGTTTGGCTTCAGTCATCGGTATGATTCGTACATTAAATGATGAAAGGTCATATTGCATAAAATACGTCAGTAAATTATCATAAAATTCCTTAGTGCATGAATCCATTAAATTCTTGAAGTAATCAAATTGACCCTTGAATTTACCATTAACTCTTAAAACTACGTATCTTCTGTCTCCAACTTCAATTTTGACAGGGTAGACGTTGTTAGTTACGAAAATGAAGTTTGCAACGTTCTGTGCTGTTCTTCTGGGTTGATTCTTTTCATTAATTCTAATTTGATTATCCGTAATAATTGATTTCAAAGCGTTGAAGTTTGCGAGTCTGTCTTCACCAACATTCTTGAGTTCATTAAGTACAAGAAACATTTTATTTTCAACAACCGAATTGAAATTACCCGTTAGCTCACTTATTTCAGTAATGTTTTTACATGAATAACCAGCGAGAAGTTCAGAAATAATGTCTGTAAATCTGTTTTTACCTGTTCCCTGAAGTCCTTTCAAAATAATTGCTGTTTCATTCTTGATTCCAGGATGTTGAATCATTGATGCAATCCAGCCGAGAAGGTATTTATACATTTCATCGTTATTATCACAAATGGCTTCTTTAATGAAATTCATAAACATCTCAATTTTTGAGTAATCAGGCTTTTCAAGAATGTTGTATTTATAACCCTGAAACGTTGAGAAAACATCTGGGGAATCAGATTTAAAGCAAACACCTTTAACTGTTAATGAGGATAATTGATTTAGTAGTACGTCCCATGCTGTTATGGTTTTACCTTCTTCTTTAAATAATTTAATCATTTTGAGTGACTCTTTCATGTTTGATTGAAGAACGAATGATATTTGATTCATTTTGTCGTGTATGTTGTAATCTTTCTGAATGAAGTATTTGTTTCCACAATCTACAAAACGGATTACACGTGATAAATCCTCAATTACTTCAGAACTGTTTTTATACTGATGATTTTCAGCCTTGCGTCTAATATCTGTTATCAAGAATGAATCATCAAGTTTTATATCAAATGTTATTTTTGGCTTACGTAATAAAGGTAAAACATATTCATCATAATATTCCTTTTGGTATAGTTTTAGAATCTTCACTAAAACAAATGGAGAAGTCATTAAATGTGCATATCTATCACGTGCTTTTTCAAAATTACTTTTTGCATTTTCTGTTAAACTGCAGAAGTTATAAACGTTATCGTATGCTTCATTAATTAAATGATTAGGTAACGAATTAATTGCTTGAAACAGTGTGAATAATGTAACTTCTTTTTCTAAATTCATGTTTCCACCGTCATTATGTACTTCAAAATCACAGATGCCATCAACTATGCTCTGGGCAAGTTTATCGTCAATGTTTACATCTTTGTTTTCATTCATTATACTCTTTATTTCTTCATTCTTCTGTTCAACTCTTACCTTAATATTCAAATCATTTAATATATCGTTTACTGTTCTAGTTAATGTTGAATCATAACTTCCACGAATGAATGAGTATGTATTGATTGGTTCTGTTGCATTCTTGCGAACTCTTGAATCAGCCATAACTACTAAAGAACGCTTTGAATCATCCATAGAAGTCATTATGTCAATATCATAATCATTGCAGGAATAACATTTAATCATTCTGTTCGAGGTTGAATAGAAGAAATTAGTGTTGCAATAAATGTGAAGACCTCCTGATGCGGTTTTAACGATAACATCTTTATCCGAAAGTTTTGATAAAATGTCTTTTCTAACTGTTTCTTTAAGTTCATCATTGTATGATTTATTGATATCAACATCTATAATCGTTAAATTTGATATTTTATTTACTAATAAAGCCATACCAGTTTTCCTTCCTCTTCCTCCATCATGTTTGAGGTAGTTATGTAAATCAATCATGTTTTCACCAATTCTTTCATTGAGGGTTTTAGTTTCTGTCATAACTAATTCCTCAACTAATGAATCAATAACTTTTTCATCAGAAACGATATAGTTGCTGTTGTTGTTTGTTGCCGTCATTTATATAGAAATAAAAAAATAAAAATAATTTTAAAAACTAACTTTATTTTTGGACTGCATCATATTTTCGTAAATGTTGTCAAAATGTCATGTTGTCACACTTTTTCAGAGAAGTTAAATGACCTGGTAGCACATGGTGACATAGTGACACCTTCAGTTCTTCAAAAATAATTCATAACTGCCTTCCTCCTGTTTGTTGTCAAAATGTCATGTTGTCACACTTTTTCAGAGAAGTTAAATGACCTGGTAGCACATGGTAACATGGTAGCACCTTCAGTTCTTCAAAAAATAATTCATAACTGCCTTCCTCCTGTGTTGTTGTCAAAATGTCATGTTGTCACACTTTTTCAGAGAAGTTAAATGACCTGGTAGCACATGGTAACATGGTAGCACCTTCAGTTCTTCAAAAATAATTCATAACTGCCTTCCTCCTGTGTTGTTGTCAAAATGTCATGAGTTAGATCTAACCATCTACCCTAAAAATTATTTTGGTGAATTCAATAAAAATAAATGGTTCATTTACTCACAATATTTTTGTACAAAACAACCCAAGCTTTTAACTTCTTTTCTGCAGCTTCTAATGCTATCTTAGCGAGTTCATATTCTCTAAATTCTCTCTTTAAATTTTCTTGTTCCCATTGGTCTAGTTCGTATGGAGAATCTCTATAACCATAACATAACTCACGTTCATGTTCTAATTGTTTTTCGCACATTTTTCCAACTTCTTCTTCAAACAAAGGTTTAGCATTCTCTACTGTATCTTCAAGTTCTTCTTCATCTAATTTCTCATGAACTTTCTTGTCTATGGAGTCCATAATATCTTTGACATAAAATGCATACTTTACAGAGCACCATTCAGCAACAAAATGAACGAGGTCAGGATGTATGTAAATACCTTTGAATTCATTTATAACACCCTTAGTAAGCTCATAAAATGCTTGTTTTGAGGTCGAGCCACTTTTGGCTCCACCGTATTCGTTCATCCAAAACTCAAGAATTTCCTGTATTTTAGCACTATTGAGAAATCTGTTTAAATGGTTTAACTTTCCTGCTTCTCTTGCCATCTTTGTTGCATTAATGTAACCATCCTTGTCTCTACTAAGACTTCAATACCGTTATAAGTGCCTTTTGTGAATGTTTCGCCATTAGATTTGTTAGTGAATTTTTGCTTCGACTGACATTTCTGTTCTTACATACAAAAAAAAAATAAAAAATAATTTAAAACTAACTTTATTTTTGGGTCATTTACACTCATTCCGATGAAGTCATGACAAATCATTTCCTGTGTTGTTGTCAAAATGTCATGTTGTCACACTTTTTCAGAGAAGTTAAATGACCTGGTAGCACATGGTAACATGGTAGCACCTTCAGTTCTTCAAAAATAATTCATAACTGCCTTCCTCCTGTGTTGTTGTCAAAATGTCATGAGTTAAATGACCTGGTAACATGGTAGCACCTTCAGTTCTTCAAAAATAATTCATAACTGCCTTCCTCCTGTGTTGTTGTCTAAATGTCATGTTGTCTCATTTTTTAAAAGAAGTTAAATGACCTGGTAGCACATGGTAACATGGTAGCACCTTCAGTTCTTCAAAAATAATTCATTATTGAATAACCTGTAAACATTAACGTAAACATTTATTTCTGCAGTTCATTCATTACTTCATTACCTAATTAATTACAAACATAAAATATATTTAGTTCATTCAATGAACGCGGTAAGCCTGCAAAGTAGGCTCACGCACATTCAATAAATGCGGTACCATGCGAATACAGTCATAAATGGTGGCATATAATCTGCACCCAAGCCTGTTGGATTTGTTGTGAAAGTATGTGAATGATTTCCTCCTGGTTCAGTTGGTCGAAAAGTCTTTTTTGCTGAATGGTTATAATCTGGAGATAAAACGTCATTGCCAGCATAATATTCTGAGTTGTATAATGGATGGTCTCTTAATGAGTGACTATGATTACCTGATGTGTTTGTAGTTCCTGTATGAGTGTGCGGTGGAAGGTTTGCTTCAGTAATTTTCTTTGAACCACCGGTTTCCTTTGAAGAGTTCGCACAATAGAAGAATTTATCTACAATCTGTTCCCACGCACCAAAACCTAAAACTTTTGAAGGATTTGTTGAGTTCATTGACGTATAAATAGAACCAATGGGGTAAATCATCTCAAGAATTGTATTTAATCCATTATGAATATTGAATTTATTATATAATATTGAATTTATTATATAATATTGAATTTATTATATAATATTGAATTTGGGTGAGTATTTAAAACTGGTCTTGTTATCAATATTAACGTATTATTTTTGAAAATTGCTTTTCTAACATCTTGAAATTTTGTGATTTCAGACCAGTTTCTTCCATCACTACTGATATTTACTAAATCACCACATCCTAAAGCAATGAAATACCCATCAATATAAAATAAATTTGTAAATCTATAATTTTGAGTAAATTTTGGAGTGAATGAATAAACCAATTCCCAATTTGATAAATCCTGTGATAAATAAATATGTCTGTTATAACTTACAGGATATGAATAGACCATTTCACCTGAAACGAGAACATAAACATTTGATCCATAACATAAAGCTTCAATGTCTCCATCAGCTTGAAAAATTTGTTCAAATTGACCTTGTGATATTGAAGATGATCTATAAATTTTATCATTTTGTAGGATAAAATACATGTTGTTAATGTAATACCACTTACTTGTATAATCAATTTTCAAATCTGATGACATCATACTAAACATATAATAATTTATCCCATCCTCACTAATGAAAATTTGATTGACTTCATAAATTAGTACCCATTTATTATTAACACATCTAATAGGATTATTTGGATATTTAAATTTAGCATCTTGATTTAAATTACATTTGAACCATTGGATACAATCGAATGAATAACAAGGGCAAAAATCATCTTCAACCGTTATCATTCCCATAAATTTACCGTTATTATATTCAACATATAAAATTCTTGGATTAATGATTGGCTTTCGTGTATCAGGATTCAAAACAGATGGAGTAAATGATTCATAGTTTTGAAAATCATTTGTTTTAAAATAATAAAGCACTCCAGCTGTATAAAATAAATACATGGTCACTCCATCGAAACATATCCATTCAAAAGAATCTATATCAAAGGTTTTATCTGATGATTTCATAAAATTTAAAAATGGAGGAGTAAAATAGACCTCTGATTGTTTTAATTCAGCGTCAACATATTCCTTATCCGCTTTCTTCTCTAACGCAGCAGCAACACATTCCTTATCTGCTTTCTTCTCTAACTTAGTCTTTAATTCAGCGTCAACATATTCCTTATCCGCTTTAAGGTCTAAACATCCTGAAACCCATCCTGTATCGGCTTTAGTTTTTAAAATCTTTGATGTCCATTCATGATACCATTCAACACTTTCTTTAATTTCATTATCTTTTTCGTTAACATATTCCTTATCCGCTTTCTTCTCTAACGCAGCAGCAACACATTCCTTATCTGCTTTCTTCATTATGTCATTTAGGAAACTTTTATGAATTCCTCATTTAAATTAAATCTTCCAATCTTCAAAACTTTAGGAAATGCATTTAATGCGTAATATCTCTGTTCTTCTGGTGGAATTGATGTTATATCATCCGTTATTCCTTTAATTTTTGAATTCATAAATAAAATTTCTTTTATATTTGATATCACTGCACCACCCTTGCAAACGAATTCGAAATGGTCATTTTTCAATACTATCTCCAAATCTCCATATTTCAACCTTTGCGTTTGTTCTGCCGTCTTTGAATTATATGCATATATGGCGTATGTAATGGTCTGAGGGACCTGGGTGCTTTGTGCCTTAAGTTGTTGTGGTTGCTGTTGTTTAATCATTTATTATGATTTAAAAATAAATATTTAATCTGTTATCTCATCAGCTATTTTTTCTATTTGAAATTGCCATAATATTTCATTCATGAATTCTAAATCACAATCAAATAGGTCAGTTATTCTAAATTTAATATTTGATAAATCTTTTGAATGAAGAATAAATGAATTCCCGGATAATTGAAACGGATATGATAAAGAAAATGTGTTTAAGTTGATGGATAAAATGTTTTGTATTGATGGGTAAGAGTTAGGGTCTAATGTTTGATGTGAAAATCTCATTGGGGTATTAACTTTATCACATTTGATTAAAATGAAATTGGAACCAGTGTCAGAATACAAAACATCCCCAACATCTTTTTCAAAATTTAATATTCCCAACAATGAACGAAGATGAGGAGTACAAAATTTAATTTTCAGCGGAATTTAATAAGGTTATTTATTTCATCAAGTTCAAAAAGTTTATCGGGTTTTGATTTAAAATTTTCTTCATACCATATGATAAATGATTCATTTAAATAACTTAAAATCATGTTAATATCCCATTTCGTTATCACATTATTTATATACATATCATACGTTTTTTCATGGTCATCTTTAATAAATGATATATAATCTGAAGGGTCTAAAAGAATGGGATTAAATTTACCACTCACAGAAACGAGAGTAACATTATAAATTCCGCTAACTGTTAAATTTAATTCACAGTTATTATTCGAAATAATATTGATAATTGACATTTTTATTACGATTAAAAATATGGTAAAGCGTTATTTTCCAGTGATAAATAAAACTAGAATAAGATTACCTCAAGAATTCATAAATTCAACGAATAAGAAATTCATTCATGTTATAAATTTTAGTGTTTTCAGAAAATATGAGTCAATGTCATATTCATCATCGGGTTATATTTCACTTCATTCAAATTTAGTTCAATCAAACCCATATAATGACCATTTCATAAGATTTTCAGATGGTATTAAAAATGTAATTGATAGATTAAAATATGAACAGATTGACAATATCGAATTTTTGGAATTTTGGTTTAAATATCCCGATGGAAAAAAGATTGAAGTTAAAGATAAAGCTGATACTATAACAAAAACAATTACAATGACCGATCCAGATAGTGGGGAACAAAAAGAAATAAAACAAACGATAGAAACTGGTGAAAGGTCAATTATTATTGATTATGATTCAAAGGATTATTATTCAATAATGTTAATGCTTGAATATTAAATAGCCTTAACAAAGAATTTTTCAAGTGATATTTTATATTCATCAACTATTTTATTGTATATGTTATTATAAGTTAAATGTAGTTCAGTTATTGTTCCGTTCTTTGATATCTTAATTGTGCTAATATCCTTTATAGGATTTATTTTTGCAACTGTTCCGCAGCATGAAACCTCATCATCTATGAAAAATTGAATCTTAACGTCTGAATCTTGAACATCACAAAGAATGGCGATAATGTGAATTAATGATTCATAAGGTAAAATAATTAAACCGGATTGGTCAATTAAATTTATTATTGAATCATAATTATTAATTATTATATCACGGTAAATTTTCATTAATTCAGAATTAATGTCTATTTTATATGGCGCATTGCGACTGTAATCGTAGATTCCTGGGTTCTCGATGTTTGATGAAAGAGGTGGGGGTATGTTGGATAAGTGGGAATTTCAACAGGTTCTTTACCGGGTTCAGATAAAATGATTGGGTCTCCATCTTCTTTATTTTGATCCTCCTCCTTTTTCGGTAAGTCACGAGTTAATTCAGGGCTAACATTAACTTTAACATTTTGAATAATTCGTGATTTATCATCATTTACGTTATAACCAACCGTAATCTCTGCTTTTGCGTTAGTGTTCTTTTGACTAGTGAAACGTCTTCTCATTTATAATCGAATAAAAAAAAAGAAAAATATATTTAAAGTTTTATTTAGTTGTTACGGTAATATCCCAAGGTTCATCATTGTTTGCTTATACTTTCTTTGTAACTGCACCAATTATGTTATTGATATTGCTTTGAGTTTCTTCCAGTCTTATTTTATCATTTACAATATCTTTAATCATTTCATTACATGCATTCTTAAAACCATCTGATTTTTCTAATTTACGTCT